GATATATTTTTGTCAAATTTTTATGATATCTTCAAATTTATATTTCATTCAAAAATAAAGCATTATCGCTTTCTCAAAATCACATAATACCATATTATAACATCAACTGAGATAAAAAATAAAATAAAATATTAAAATCAAGATATATCTCGCAACATTGCACGAGTACACTTCTAGTTTTAATTAAAACCAATAAATTACATGACATTTATAAATAAAAAAGATTATTATATTTCTTTTTTCCCCTTTAAATTTTGAATTTTTTTAACCTTATCTCTATATATTTTTAAAGATCTTTTATTAAACATTTAGTCCATTTAAACGAAATCATTTACAACAATTTATCCGGTAAACGTTAACCATCATAAGATAGCGTTTGGTACGCAGACATAATTGGACAGAATTGAACATGATAGAACTGGACATGACAGGACACGAGGGTAGGACTGGACAGGACATGATTGAACATAACAGCAGTATGTCTGGTGTTTGGTACAACTAGGACTGGACGGGACATGACTGAACATAACATCAGTATGTCTGATGTTTGGTACAACTAGGACTGGACGAGACAGAACTAGACAAACTACCCCCAAAAGTTATTTGATGATTTTACATATTATATAATAGTTATAACTACACAAATAAAGTAAATAATTAAAGAATAATTATTTGTACATAATTTTCATATTTGTACCAAATTTGAATGAAAAATTTGATACAATTGATGGTAGCAGTGGTGGTGGTGAAAGTGGTTTTGGTTATGGTGGAGGTGGTGGTGGCCGACGGTAGTAGTGGTAACGGGCGGTGGTGGTCGGTGGCCGACAGTGGTTATGGAGGTAGAGACAATGGTGTTTGGTGGACGACGGTGGTTATAGAAGACATTAAGATGGTAGATTGTGGTGGTGGTGGCGGTTGACAATGGTGGAGGAGGTAGTTGTGGTTGATGTAGTGAATATAGTGGTGGTGGTGGTGGCTGAGGGTGGTCGTGGAGGAGGTTGCTGCAGTAGATGAGGAGTTGAAGGTGGCGAACGGTGGTAGTGGTGGTGGCAATGGACGGTAATGGTCGATGGTCGACTATGGTAGAGGTGGCAATGGACTTGGTGGATGGTGGTTGTGGAGGCGGTGGAGGATGTTGTTGTAGTGGAAGAGGAGGTGGAGATGGAGGTGGCCGTCGATGACTGCCGGTAATGGTGGCGGCGGCCGAAACTAGCGGTGATGACCATTAAAACAAAGACCATATTAAGGTTATATATCAAACTAAAGTAGATTAGTAATATTTTAGTTTGTCTCATTCTTGTCCCATCTTGTTCCACCTATTTTGGTGGAACAAGAACAAATCTCTTTTGTCTCATGTTGTCCCCCCTTGTCCTTGTTCTTGTCCCTGTCCCATGTCGCGCCAAACGTGGGACAATGAGTTATTGTTCTGTTCCATGCTGCGCCAAACATGGGATAGTAGGTTTTGTCCTGTCATGTCCCGTCCCATGTACCAAACACAACCTAAGAGTCGTCGTCTTCACTTATCTGGTAAGACTCTAAATTCTTGTCTTCACTTTTACCGGATAAGGTTATTGTTATTTGTCATATTCAACCAATAAATTAATATGACTTGGTTTACGCTTGCCCAGATAAACGTTTTATAAACGGTCCATTTATGCGTTAAGCCATTTTTTTTCCTTTTTGTGTTATAATAAACATATCAATTGAAAGTTTTTTGTGGGGGCAAGCGCCCCCTTCCCCTTCCACAATAACTTAAATCAACCCCTGTTTATATAAAACTTTTTCCCAATATGGAGCCCTTACCGAAAATAAACGTGACACTGCCTGAAATGTACCCATCTGCGAATTTAATACACAATAAATTTAATTTAATAATAATAAAAAAAAAGATGACAAAATATTTTCGGTGGCAGATAGAAGCGGAGAATTGGATAAAGCCACCGTGTGCTGGGGGCGTCACCGCCACGTGATGAACCGTGAATTGCACGAGCTTTTATCAACCCTATCCATGCCGCTTACACTTGTACTGCTCAAAACCGCCGTTAAGATTTCAAATCATCTGCCGTTAACCAAAGTACTTATGATTTATCATGAACCACAGAGGAAAAAAAGGACCACATTCAGAACCAGCCCTAACGGAGACCTTGACGCCGTTAAAACACACTTCCAAGTTTCCTCCTCACATTTTGTCGTCTTTCTCCTTGCATTCCCTCAGCTACATATAAGTACGAGCTCCGCCGTATGTGGTGGTGCAGGAAATCATTAGCACGAAAAGAAGAAATTCAGGGAGGAGATAAGAGAAGGAAGCTCGATTGCACTTGTTCGATTGGAAATGGCAAAGATTCCGATGAGATTCAAGAGGATAACGGAGGCGTTCGACGATGATGCTAGGGCAAGGTTATGCCAGAGCAGTGGAAGCGAGCATTCCGCAAACTCGGTGACGGATCTTTCAGATCTAGTTGATTCGTTCTTTGAGGGAGACGCCGGTGGTCGAGGTAAGTCGTGCGGGGAAAACAAGGTTAGAGATCGTGATCAGGAAGAGACGAAGTATCAGGAGGCGGAGAGTTTTTATGGTACGGATTCGGAGACGAAGGAAATGCTGATCGATCTGATCGATGATGATGCGGAAAACGAAGATGATCGTTCGAAGTGTGCGATCCGTTCCGAGGTAGAAACAGTGTGCCGGAATTTGGAAAATTCTTCATCCGAGGGCTTTAAGCGGCATCTAATGACTCTACTTCGACAGCGAGGGTTTGATGCTGGTGAGAATCGCTTCATATGCACGTTTTAGATTTGAATCTATAAGAATCAATGACAAATGATGTAATCTGAAATGCTCATATGATCATATTAATTCATCATCTTCAATTCTTCAAATCATGATTTAGTGTTTATGTATAGTTTTAACGGAGATCTACTTGCGATATATGTTTACAGGCCTCTGCAAGTCCCGTTGGGAAAAAACCGGACGGCATCCCGCCGGAGAATACGAATACATTGACGTTCTAAATTCCGGCAAACGTTACATTGTGGAAGTATCATTCGGAGGTCATTTCACAATCGCACGACCGACCAAAACCTACAAATCTCTGCTCGAAGTAATACCTAACATTGCAGTAATTAAACCGAACAAGCTAAAGCAGGTGGTGAGGCTAATGTGCGCTGCGATGAGAACCTCTCTGAAGACGAGAGACATGGAGGTTTCACCATGGAGGAAAAACGGATACATGCAGACCAAATGGTTCGGATCGTATAAACGAACGACGAACGCTCTACCGACGAGATCAACGGCGGTGTCTGCTTACGGCAACGGTGAGTTTAACGGACGGAGTTTTAAAAATTTCGAGTGTTTTCCGGCGGCCGTTGATGGTAAAAATGACTGCCGGAAGGAGGTTGAGAGAATGCATGTGGTAGGTAACCTGAAGGCGTTGATGTTCAGTGGCATGTGATTGTAATTATGATGTATATCGGAGGGCATAATGGTAGATGAGGTTTGATGGTGGAATAGTCATCATTTGTAGACAATTTCGGATATTGTTATCTTTTCATATAGCCGTTGACGTGACAATGTGACATTTTGATGTTTATCTTTTTGTTTTTTCCCATGTATTTATGTATTTTTAATGTTTTATTTGACGTGTAATTAATAATTTAATGAACAGTTCTTTCAAGTAAAAAATTTAATGACTTGTGATAATTTTTTTTTTATTATTTTTTTTTGATAGGGTGTCCGGGCTAAAGCCCGACTAATCCCCGACAATTTTGGAGGTTAAACATGGTCCCGCTTAAATGTCGCCAACACTCCCCTCCCAGGGCTCGAATTCGAGTTCATGACTATGCCATGCCCAAGCCTTTACCAATAGGCTGGAAGGTCTTTGACACTAATCCCCGGCAAATTTGGAGGCTAAACATGGCCCCACTTAAATGTCGCCAACACTCCCCTCCCAGGGCTCGAACTCGGATGACTTGTGAGAATTATTGTTGGGTAAAAATCTTTAATATAAAAATAAGTTTTGTAAAAGTTACTCTATGTCTTTGACATTAGGGTGTTTAAAAACTCGATTAATCAATCTAACACGAAATAACTTAAATAGAAACAATCCGATATTCAGTCGAGTTGTAGAATTTTCAAACTATCGGTGTTGAGTTGATATTAGGTTACTATTATTTGAACTCAACTCAACTCGATGAACCCGATATCCTGTTATTCCTTGGATTTAATATGATTGTTGAATTTCTATTAGTATATATATTAGACAATTACACTATCATGTACGCTCTTTATATATACATATTTTCACATCTCTATATAACTCATGTGTATATATGTTCAGTAACTGTGAACATATATATGTAAATTGAGAAAATTAACTAAATGTAATATACGTAAAAAATATAGATAAGTTGTATCAAATAGTTGATGATGAAAAAAAATTACGAGTAGAGAAATAATATATTCAAGATTAAAAGAATATTTTAGTGTATCAAAATATCAACCCGACCAACCCGTACGGTTTGGGTTGAATTGGGTTAGGTTGCACTTTGATTTGGATTAGGTTGAGTTAAGATTTTCCAAACAATAAGCATTGCATTGGATTGTTCAAATATTTTCAACACGATCAACCCAACCCATGAGCATTCTTATTTGACGCATAAATCATTAATAAAGAAACATTGTAACTTTGTCTAAATACAAGAGAGATCATAAGTTCGATCCTAACCCCTTCTCCCTTCCAGAAGCTATTCCCAGTTGCTGAACGAGCTAAAATACGTCCGTTTGTATCAATATGTTTAAGGACATTTCATACAAACCCGATAAAAATAACCGATAATCAAGTTTTTACCCAAAAAAGTTACTATGTAATTTAAAAAACTTTACCAACTATTTTTTGAATTTATTGACACGTTATGGAGATGCATATGGTCAAAACGGACCATTATTATTAATAGCACGTGGCTCAATTGGATGTCCAATAGCCATGGATACGTGGCAACATCCAGTCGCCAACCACTTTTAATGGACCCACCACATTATCCTCTATATTTCTTTCATTATTTTTAAATAATATCCAAATAAATTAGAAAAACAATAATTAAAGGTATGTTTCCTCAAGATGATATGATTAAGTATTTCATTATTCAGATGCTCCATCTACAACTGAATGATCCACTGAAAATTGATTAATATTTATAATGGAAAATGTAATCAACTGAAAATTATCGTTTTTATTATATGTTTGAGATAAATGTTTAATACATAATTATATCTTGGTTTTTGCATGTAATTCATTTGGTTGGAGTGATTTTGTTTTGATACAAGACGGGTTATACGTTTGGTTGGATCGCAAGCCCTTGTTGTCGTTAACCGTGACTGAGCGAAAAAAATGCTTCGTCACATTGGTGTCTTTGGAGATGGGGTACGTGTGGGGCTGGTTGGAGTTACCAGTAATTAATTTTTTGTTCAATTAAGGTGAGTTTGGTATGCAGACTGGGTGAGATGAGACAAAAATAAATAGTTCCATGTTTGGTGTGCCATGAGACAAAAATGAGATGAGACAACATGGGACAAAAGTAAGATTGAGTTGGACTATTTTTGAGTTTTTTTGTTCCACCAAAAAGGTAGAACATGATGGGACTAAATTTGAGATTACAATATTGTCCTTATTATTTGATGTCAAAGTACAAACTTATTTAATTGCATCCTCTTTCTTCTCTTTTGACGACGACGTGACAAATGTTATTTACAATTGTTGTGTTTAAATTTTTTAAATTATGTGCGTATTTAAAGTTTGTGGTATGACAAGTGTTATTTACATGTGGTTTTTGAATGTTAAAAAAAGTATTGATATTATAGATTAAATAATTTAAACATATTGTTGGTTGATATATTGTCATTTACAATTATTATATGATATAAAATAACATTGAACAACATTTATGGGGCAATATGGTTATTTTAACAATTTTGTCATGTTATGTCTTAGTCGTACCAAACATAAGACAGAGAATTAGTCTTGTCCTGTCCTGTTCTGTCCCGTCCCGTTACGTCTCATCCAGTCTGCGTACCAAACACTACTTTAGGGGTGTGTGCATCGGGCGGGTTCAGGTGGAAAATTAAAAACCTGGTCGGATTTTGGATATGCAAATCAAGCCCCAATTCTAGATTTTGGATTGCTTCGGGTTGAGGTCGGTTGGGTTCAAGTTAGTTATAATGCAAAAAATATATAATATCGAATTGATTTTGACAGTGAATTCAATTGATTTAGAGGATTGATAAATCGAAAGTATGCTTAAAAATTAGAAAAAAAACACGACCAACTAAGAATTTTAGAACTTTCCAAAGATAATTAAATAAATAAGTATATTTATATAGTATTTAAAATATATATATGTATATATATTTCGGGTTTTCGGACGGATTGAGTGGCCAAAAATAAAACCCGACCCGAATCCGGATTTTCCCTAAAAAGTCAGTTTTCAGATTTTCGGATTTCAAGGCATTCGGGTTTTACATAAATACCTTGTTTTTTGTTCAGGTTTGGATTTCGGATCGATAATTCGGGTTTTGCACACCCCTGATTCAAATAAACCATAATATTTTTGATCGGCTACAAGTCTGAGTTTCTTCGAATACGTACAATATGCTTGTAGTTAAGAAAATGTAGTTTGTGAGCTTTTAGAAAGTAATAATCGTTGCATCAAGTAATGGAAAACGATCAGTTCAACTGGCAATTGTCGATTAGTTTTGCTTAGGGTTATTAGAAATTTTTTGGCTGGTATACTCAAAGTCCCATGAGAATAGTCGAGATGTGTACAAATTGGCCAAGACATCACTGTTACAGAGAAAACAAAAAAGTCCTCAACCATTGCAACCACGAACGAACAGTTTACTAAGCGATACCAGCCACAACACACCTCCATCATTTCTCTCTAATACCAAACGAGATCATATGCCCATATGTTCTCGTTTTGAATAACATCCTCGTAGAAGACTAATCAAGAGCATTAATAAAGACTCTGATGTTTATAACTGGTAGATTATGTTTATCTGAATTAGTCAAAAATTGAGTAGCGAACATCAATCATGAGCATAATGTATTTGGTAATCGTGAACCTCGCTAATTTCCTGAATTTTATTGTTTACACAGTTATGTTGGTGTAAACTGTCAAACAAATTCAAGACTTCTTGATTTTTGATCTGATTGATGGAAAAAAAAAAAAAAACTTACTGTTGAAACTGAGAGAATATGTGAAACCCCACTATATTACTCTTCAAAAGAGATTTTGAGGAGAAAAAAGGGTTCCAAAATATTACAGAGAAATGGTCCAAATTTAACAGATGTAAGCGGTTGTTTGTTTACCTCTTAATAGTTTCATTAAGAGACAACCTTTGAATTGTTAAGAGGTGAATCTTGTTTGACAAAAAAAAATCTGTCTTTTAATGGCTCTAAAACTCTCTGATTGATTTTGTATCCTGGATCTCCTTTAACCATTAAGAGCCCTAATTTTATTGTACATAATTACCAAACAATTATATTTCATTTTGCACTATATCATAAGAGCCTTTTAATCATCCTGACCACTTAATCATTACCAAACCATTTAACAATTGCCAAACATCCCCTAAGACTCCATCATGCTCCTATACGGGAACAGATTCTCCAGAAGTAGAGACAGAGCAAACGAGTACCAATTTTTTTTTATATCATGGTATCAAGGCTAAAGAATGACTCGACACTAGGGTGCAATATGTACTCGTCTATCCTCCTCTCGTCACTCTGTTACACTTAATTTATGCTTGCATTGCCTCCCTTGGAGAGGACAAGTTAAAATCCGACATCAAACATAACTTCGACAATTTCTTCTTAATATACGTTGGAACCTCTATAAACAGTAAACTAATGGGATTCCATATGTTGTACTATTTAGATCTTGATTTACTCTTGTCTTAATTTTGGGCTTCTAATGAAGCAAGAAGCTTAAAGCAAAGTGGAAAGCTAGGCCCACCAATAAGCCCAATGGATTAAGCTAGATATCGGGACTGGAGTGTAAATAATGCGTTTGAGTGAGCTTAATCTAAACAGACTATAGGACCAAAATGTAAGTCACTCTAAATATAGTTATAAAGCATTCTAATTTAAGTATGACATAATATTGTTTTGTACTAGAAAAATTTATCAGTTGGTTATAAGTTAATTTTATACAGTTCAAAATATTTCAAAAACTTGTAAACATAAAACTGTTACATGCTAGATATGCATGATTGGCTTATTATAATACTACGGATATGCATGATTGGCTTATTATGAGTACTGTTTCACACTTGAAACCGTTATGTATCCCAAAAATTGTCTTCTAATTATTGTACGGTATGATTTATAAAATAAATTTTATATCATCCACGTACCCAAAAATACGTCTCTTACGTGAATTATCAATTAACCATTCGATCAAAATTCTACACATAAATCCTTATGTACAAATCCTACGAAGTTGTCTTACCTATAATTAATATATACAGACAAGCACTCACGTACATGCATACCACCCACCCACAAACACATTTATTTATATATATATACACACACACA